AGGTTGACACTTACAAGCACAGTAGCTGTAACGACAGATTTAAGATGTTTCAGTGTTGTTTATTAAGGTTGACACTTACAAGCACAGTAGCTGTAACGACAGATTTAAGATGTTTCAGTGTTGTTTATTAAAGTGGGCACTTACAAGCACAGTTGCAGTAACGACAGATTTAAGATGTTTCAGTGTTGTTTATTAAGGTTGACACTTACAAGCACAGTTGCAGTAACGACAGATTTAAGATGTTTCAGTGTTGTTTATTAAAGTGGGCACTTACAAGCACAGTTGCAGTAACGACAGATTTAAGATGTTTCAGTGTTGTTTATTAAGGTTGACACTTACAAGCACAGTAGCTGTAACGACAGATTTAAGATGTTTCAGTGTTGTTTCTTTGCTCTAATCTAGTAGTAATTAAAACTGTACACATATTAATAATTACTTTGCTCTAATCTAGTAGTAATTAAAACTGTACATATATCAATAATTACTTTGCTCTAATATTGTAGTAATTAAAACTGTACACATATTAATAATTACTTTGCTCTAATCTTGTAAGGATTAAACTTGTTTCAGAACTGCCTCTAATGGTTTGATGATACTAAAATTTGTCGACTGGGTTTATTTAGCAAGGAGAGCCTGGGGCTTCTTGATGCTGGAAAGACCTTTTTCGTTGCGTATGATGGATATCAACATGAAAGTTACTATCATATGTGGAATAAACGTAAGTCTTATATCATAAGATATTCTTTAAGTGTTTTTTTTTCTTAGCGAAAATATATATACAATGGGCTATTTACTCTCTGTCCAACACAAGTAATCAAGTAATTGAAAGTCCCGAAACTTACCGCTAACCCACCGAGGGGCTTATTGAAATGACAACTATTGTTCAGCCCTTGAAAGCCTCTGTTTGTGCCCCTACACTGCCAAGGTCTGTTGTGGTGTTTTAAATATGCCGAATATTTACTTTAGGTTTAGGATTTGTTTCAGTTTGTAGTTATAGCAGCATGACACGGATGGACGTATTTCTCAGCGGCTGGTCAAGATAAATAAGACTCGGAGGCTTCGTTACTGATGCTTTCAGTAAGAATGTGCAACACTTGACAGTCATCTTAAATAGCACATTTACTGATAAAAATAGAGTAATATGTGTATATTCACACATAGAGCTCGGCGTGAAAACATAAAACTGCGGCTACGTACAACTTTTTTTAAAGCGATCAATTCCCTTGCTTCGCTAATGGAACAGAGAGCGAGTGTCTTACGAAGTTCAATTTCTATAACATTTTCTTTCTGTTTCTAGCTGATAAACATTGTAATGAGAATCACAGCTAACAATTCGTCAGATTTTATTACAACTACTTTTATTATACAAAAGCATACTCAACGTTGTATTACAAAAAACAACAACAACAAAAAATGACACGCAACACTAACAAAACGTTACTTACATGCGTAATCCCATTTACTGCATACCCGGAGTTTACAAACCCCTGAAACAGAATCGAAATTAAATAAATAACATTGAAATATCTTAAATCTGTCGTTACAGCAGCTGTGGTCCTAAGTGTCAACCTTAATAAACAACACTAAAATATCTGAAATATGTCGTTACAGCAACTGTGCTTGTAAGTGTCAACCTTAATTAATTATTAATATGTGTACAGTTTTAATTACTACAATATTAGAGCAAAGTAATTATTAATATATGTACAGTTTTAATCCTTACAAGATTAGAGCAAAGTAATTATTAATATATGTACGGTTGTAATTACTACAAGATTAGAGCAAAGTAATTATTAATATATGTACAGTTTTAATTACAACAATATTAGAGCAAAGTAATTATTAATATGTGTACAGTTTTAATTACTACAATATTAGAGCAAAGTAATTATTAATATGTGTACAGTTTTAATTACTACAATATTAGAGCAAAGTAATTATTAATATATGTACAGTTTTA